GTGTCACTGGTGGTATCAGTAATGTCTCATTTCAATTAAGAATTTAGTTTGAATAAACTTGAGACCTCTAACATTGGGTATTGTTTTGTAAGATATCTGTGTGTGTGAAAGCTGAATTAAAATATTCTCCTAAATTGAACTTTTATAGTGAAGAGATTTGTACCTTGAAAGTATAGTACTGGAAAATCCTAGCTATTTATTTCATGTATTTTATGCATTTCCTCAAATTTGCCCTTTTTACTCGTTGGAGATTTATGATGTCTTTCCTGAGGTGTTGGTCCATGAATGTTGAGAACTTTCTCGTATCACACTCGAGTGGCCATCCTTTTTGTATGAGCCAAGACATTAAGCAGCAGCACATACGAGGCTAACCTTGGCAATGTTCGCACACCCCCTTTCCAATTGGGATTCCTGGATAGTGATCAGAAGCAGAAATTTTGGCTGATTTGTTTTGTTTTCTTACCCCTCTCTAACTTGGAGGAATAAAGACTATGCTTAGAATGCCATTGTGGTCTTGGTTGAGATCTGCTAACTCGATGTATTATTTTTGTTCAGTATCTCACAATGTAGTGCATTTACCCCACCCCTCATTTTAATTTACAAAAATAGTTTGGGATTACAACAACAAGAACAAAATTACATTTGTAAAGTGCCTTTCACGTTTGGAGAACTTCGCAAGGCACTGAACAGTCAGGGATCAGGACCCGAGTGTGGGGGCCAGGGTTGGGATGAGGGAGGGCAGAGGGGTTAGGAGGGCGGCTGAAGTCACAGTCAAAAAGGAGGGTCTTGAGTCGTGCCCTGAAGGAGGCAAGAGAGGGAGCGAGGCGAAGGGACTGTGGGATGGGGTTCCAAAGAGTGGGGCAGAGAGGCTGAAAGTCTGGCCGCTGATGGTAGGGCTTGTCGAGCAGGAGACCTGGAGCAGGCCAGAACCTGCTAAGTGGAGGGAGCGGACAGGTTGATAGGGGTCAGCAGGTCAGAGATGTAGGAAGGAGCAAGGCTGTGAAGGGCCTTGAAAGTGAGGATAAGGATTTTGAATTCTATCTGAGGGATGGGAAGCCAGTGGAGCCGGGCGAGGGTGGGGATGATGGGGTCACGGAGGCTGGTGCGGGAGAGGACACGAGCTGCAGAGTTCTGGATGATCTGCAGCTTGTGGAGGGAAGAGTTGGGGAGACCGACAAGGAGGGAGTTTCCATAGTTGAGCCTTGCGGTGACAAATGCATGTATAAGGGTTTTGGCGGCCTGAGGGGTGAGGCAGTGGTGAAGTCGGGCAATGTTGCGGAGATGGGGGAAGGCAGAGCGGGTCAAGGCACGGATATGGGGGAGAAAGGACAGTTGAGGGTCGAACAAGACGCCCAGGTTCCTGACTGGGTTGGTGAGGTGGAGTGTGCAACCGTGGAGACTGATGCTGCCAGTGCCTGAGTTGCTGAGCCGCTGGTCCGAGCCAGTCAGGTGGGCCTCAGTCTTGCTGACATTCAGCTGTAGAAAGTTGGCTTTCATCCAGGACTTGATGTCAGACAGACAATCTGTCAGGACATCAGTTGTCCTGGAATCAAGGGTGGATTCAGAGAGATAGAGTTGGGTGTTTTCCGTGTACATGTGGAAGTTGACCCCATGTCTGTGGATGATGTCACCAAGGGGGAGCATGTAGTGGTTGAAGAGGAGGGTACCGAGGACAGAGCCCTGAGGAACGCCGCATGAGACTGCGGGGACTGGAAGGGAAACCTTTGGTGGAGACAAATTGGAGACGGTATGAGAGATAAGACCTGAATCATTCAAGGACAGAACCTTTACAGTTGAGGTGAGAGGAGAGGCGGTGGTCCATGGTACCAAAGGCAGTAAAGAGGTCGAGGAGGACGAGGAGACAGAGAGAGCCCTGGTCACCGATGGACAAAATGTCGTTTTTACCTTGACCAGAGCAGTTTCCATGTGCTGTGAGCAGCATGGAAACCCGATTGGAGGGGCTTGTGAAGAGAGTGGTAGGAGAGGAATGAGCAAAGCTGTGAAGCAATGACTCTTTCAAGGACCTTCGAAAGAAAAGGAAGATTGCAGATGGGCCAGTAATTAAAAGCAGGAATAGGTCCAGGGAAGGTTTTTTTGGGATGGGGCAGATTGAAACTGTTTTTAGGTGGATGGGAACAGTGTCAGATGAAAGGGAGAGATTGATGGTGTTGGAGAGTAAAGTGGCGAGGAGGTGGAGCTGGGAGGTAAGGGGAAGGGTGGGGATGGGGTCAAGGGAGCCGGTAGTGTGTTTCATGCTAGATATGGTGGTGATGAGAGAGAAGAGACGGATTCGAAAATGTGGAGGGAGGGATGGGTAGTGGTCAGTGTGGGGGGGAGATGGGGAGGGCGTGTTGGTTGGGAGGGCGGAGGCAGCTGAACGGATCCCCTTGATTTTGGACTCAAAGAAATCCAGCATCTCCTCACAGTCGGAGATGGAGGAGAGAATGGGTGAGGCATGAGAAGGGTGGACAGAGGAACCGGTTGTTGGTGGAGAATAGGAGCCTGGGGTTTTTCTTTGCCTCCAGGATTATCTTGGAGTAGAAGGATGATTTGGCGGAGGCGAGGGTGGAGCAGTATGTTTTGATGTGGTCCAGCCAGATCTGCTGGTGGATCGTTACACATTATATACTGTAATTCATTTATTGGCTAATAATTTGGGTGCCTTATAAAAATTGCAAGAGATAAAGAGCGTCCAGGTTTGGTGCTTAAGGACGGGTAGGTGGCTGTTAAACCAGGGGAGTGGATGGGTTTGGAAATAGTGCTGGATTTCAGGGGGTCAAGGGAATTAAAAGTTGAGAGACTATCGTTTAGCAGTTTGCTGGCTGCATTGGGATCACTGCAGGTGGCAGGCCAGAGGGAGAGAAGATCTGAGGATGAGAGTGTTTGTGAGGGATGGGGGTGGGGGTGTGGGGGGGAAGGAAGCTTTTTCGAAGGGCGGAAAAAAAGTTGATGGAGTTATTTATTATTTAATAATAAATAATAATGCTTGCATTTGATATAGCACTTTTCACGTCTTCTAGACGTGTCAAAATGCTTCACAAAATGTACTGTAAAGTGAATTGACTATATATTTGTGGGTGAAACACGGCAGCTAATTGTGCATAGCAGTGTCCCACAAACAGTCATGGATTAAAGTGACCAATTTCTTTTTTCTTTTTGAGAGATTATTATCAGGCTGGTGGAGTAAGGAAACTTGTCCAAGGTTTTGCCCTGCCGGGAATCGAACCCAGATCTCTCGCTTGCGAGGCGAGTGCTCCAACCACTGAGCTACAGGAATACAGGCTTGGAGGAGGGGAGGGGGATACGAAAGGAGAGTGAAATGAGGAAGTGCTCAGAGAAAGGCTGAATGCGTAGAAAGTAGTAAAAATACATGGTTTTGTTTTAAATTGTTAATTTCAGTAGTGTAGGATTAACGTCACTGTAATGAAGTTATCCTAAATCTTGAACAGCTTTTTTCCTCATTTCAGCTGAAGTGCATAGAAATGGTTGGCGTAAAGAGGAAGGGAGTTCTGTAAAACTGTTGGTTTAATAACCCTATAATAATAAATAGTAAACTTTATATTTGGTACAGTGCATCACCATCGGGTGGATGTCTCAAAGGCTTCACAGGGTTTAATGCAAAGTGTAGTGATTTGTATTTTGTAGATGAATGTAGCAGCCAATTTGTGTACAAACATCCATGAATTAAATGACCAAATTTATCTGGGGATTGTTGGCCTGGACATCGGAAAAAGCTCCTTTCTCTTTTTGCCATGGGATCCTCTTTATTAATCTGAACAAGCAGATAGGACGTTGGTTTAACATGTCATCCGAAGGCAGCATCTCCAGCAATGCAGCGCTCCTTCAGCACGGAATTGAAGTGTCAGCCGAGGCTATGAGAGTTCAAACAGCACTCTTGCCTCTGAGTCACATGGGACTTGAGCCCACAACCTTCTGACTCAGAGGTACGAGTGCTGTTTTATTTTCCAAATGAGCGGTTTCATTTTTACCAACTGAACCAGGCACCAAGATAAGTTTATAGAAAGTACATTACATGTATCTAAAAACATGTTCTATGCAAATCTGAATAGAAATAATTTGTAGAATGATGCTGGGAAGGAAAGGATTTCACTTTTTTTTACAATTGAGAAACCCAGATGAAAGACCAAGGTTGAAAAAGTTAGGAAAGCAGACGAGATAAATGGAGCAGTAGCGGTTCGATGTAGCAAAGCTTGGGCTTCAAAAGCCCATAGATTTTATGAAGATCAGAGGAGAAAATATGGAATTTCACATCTTGTTGAAGTTTACGAGTTTACAGAAATACTATGGTTTAATTATCCCACTAGATTAGAATAAGCACTCTGAGGCACTACCCCTAGTGAAAGGCGCTATATAAATGCAAGTTGTTGTTCTATCTAGCAGAAGCAACAAACACCCTTGCTGCATGGATAAAGGAAAATATTTCTTATGTCTCTGAGCAGCTAAAGGGCTAGCTGAGTTGTAATTCATGAAAGTATTCCTCGCCCCCCCCCACCCCTCAATCTTGGTTTACCATGGAATTGAATGCACTCCAGACTGAGTGGTTTAAAAATCAAACAAGCATTGATGTAATTTATGGGGTTTCATATTGTCTGTTTCTTTTTATTTAATTTTGTCCCTGGTAATGTTATATTCATGTTGAATTTTCTTTTATCCTTTTGGATAATTGCTCTTCTGAGTTCATCTTATTGGGACTGGAAAAAGACCAGTCTGCGGAACCAAATGAGGCTATAGGCGAGCTCTGTATTTTGTGTTTTGCTAATTTGAAATGGGTGTTTGAAAATGTTTTTTGAATGACTTCACTCTTGAAATATGCAATTATGTTTTAATGCATTTTTGTTATAAAAAGATACCTATCATTGCATAGCTTTGGTTAGTTGGAAGTAGAATTTAATAATGTTTCCAGCATTTTTTTTGGTGGTTTCATCTTCTATTGTCTAAGGTATTTTTTACACTTTAACCATGATCCTGCTTTCCCTTAGGAAAAGAACGAGTCTTCAATACTCCTCTCTGTGAGCAAGGCATTGTGGGGTTTGGAATTGGTGTAGCTGTTACAGGAGCCACGGCCATTGCAGAAATTCAGTTTGCAGACTACATTTTTCCGGCCTTTGATCAGGTATGTAATTGCTGTCACAGAGAAAACCACTGGGGAGGCGAAAACTCACATTCCTTTATTTTGCATTGTTCCCATTCTCCCCAACTACTTTTGTGTGCTTCAACAAATACAATACCTCCCTGCCCCCCCGGCTATCCGGATGCCACATATCTGTAATTCTGAATTAGCTGACCGGATCCACAAAAAAAATTCCATGATTCCCAGTGTTAAAAATCAAATCAGTGCACTAAAAGTCTACCCCAATTCCCCAACTCCGCCAGCTCATGTGATGCCCACAGCTTAATCCTGATTGGTTTAGCCACGGGCCTCACTGGAGCTGCATAGCGTAAGAACTACTTTTTTTTGCCTATTTTATTTAAAATTCATTCATCCTGGCTTGCTGGTCGAGATCTCCCGTTAACCGAGGGTTTACTGTATATTTATTACTCCTATAACATTTTTGAAGTGTGCTCGGCAGACACAACCTAACATTTAATAAAACTTTAACCATCAGTTTAGGTGACCTCTCACTGAGTTTAAAAATTAATATATTTGCTTATTAACTTCTGATCATGAGTTAGAATTATAGAGCATATACTGGAAACAAGATTCCAATGCTGTGTTGCATTATTTCGGAATTAAAATTAATTATAGAAAAGATTTTTCCACCACCATTTAGTCATGTCTTACACATTTAAAATTTGATTCAAGTTTTTACACCTCTTAATGTTTCTGCTTTCTGGTGGATTTAAAACATGTTAAATAACATTCAGTGTAAGTTCTTTATTTGGTTATGATTCCTGAGTCTCATTTATAAATAGATAAAATAAATTAAAAACCATAAATACCTGACAGTACGCTTGTTTCCTGTTTACTATTGTCATTGTGTTCACTTATTTAATGCTGTCGTGAGTTCTGTGTGTTTGCTTCAATTTTCCCTTTGACAGATGTAAAATCAAAAGAAGGAAATTTGGAACTAATTTGTACATTGGGTACACATGTAATTTAAAAGTCATGAATTAAATTTTCCTTTTGCTTTGAGCTTTAATTTCCAGTATCCAATTTCAGTGTATCTTATCCTTAACCTTTGCAAAGCCTGCATATAATTGCGCAGCAATTGTAATAGTAAATGCTATCTCTGATCGAGGACTGATAAAAGTCACTTTGGTTTCTGATATTTATTATAACATTTATGTTTGGTGAATTAACAATCATAGCTGAATTAACCAGCTGTCTGACTTTATACTCATTTTTAAATTTAAAAAGTGGAAATTGGTTTGTCTTTATCAAATATTTTGTGAAAATCAATTCAATTTGCATCTCTTTATCCAGAGAAGGGACACCAAATACCCAAACTTCTACCTAGTCTTAGCTCGTAACAGGATTTCATCTTGAAATGTAAGTTTGCACAGAATTTCTGTCACAGAAATTCTTAGATTGATTCTTAATTTGGAAGTTGCTTCTTTTGAAGAATTCTTATAAATTAAGACTGGTTTTAGATCTTATATTTTTAGGCAAAATAACCTTGTAGGCCAAGACAAGATATTTCCAGCCTCTGGAGTGCTCCCAGATATATTCCAGAAATGATACTCTAGTGAACAGGAGTCTGGACTAATCATAAACCTGCTGAACCTCAGGGTATATTGTAGGTTGCTCAGCAATGCCCAACATAGCTATTGACTTGTACTTCTGTGCACATTTGTGCAACTTTTGAAGGTTTAGATTAGAAATTTCTGGCATAGAAGAAGGCCATTTCGTCCCTCATGTCTTATTCTACATTATTACCATAAATTCTAAAGAAGAACTTCATGTTCAATGTTTCTTTAATAGAGCAAGTTTTTATTATGTTTATAGGATGGTGCTGATAAAATTGTTTCATAAGACATAATTTTAAACAAGGCAAATTTTGCTTAACAGACAAAAACAAGAGGCATTTATCAATCAGGTAAACTAGCAGATGTGAACATTTGAAACTTTAAAAAACAGTATTTTACAAAGTGATAAAATAAAATCTTATCACGTTCTAACTTGGAGATGTGCTCTGCGTTAGAATCCACTTTTTGTATCTTATTATTTCTACTGAAAAGACATGGAAAGATTAAGGTTAGTTATTTATGTACAAAACTGGATTACAAATGTCGATACTTAAGAAAAGAATGTTAAGAGCATCTTTGTGTGAGGAATCTTTACTATTCTACAGTTCCAGGGATTCACCTTCTGTTCAAGGCCAATTCAGTGTCATACTTTATTGGAAGAAACCATGTGCCTCAGAGACGACAGCTATAGTATGGCACAAAATAAAGACTTTGGTTTTGATAGCTGCTCTATAATTCCTGCCATGCAGTGGAAAGACTATTTTAACACACATAGATTATAAGTGTTTTTTTTAATGAAAACGTAAGAGAAAGCCCAAACCCATAGACCCAACATTATTGATGTTACAATACAAAACTACATTTGATTAGAGCCTTTCACATCGGGGGGACATCCCTAGGCGCTGGACAGTCAGGGATTTGGACCAGAGCTGGGGGTTGGGATCAGGGAGGGTGGAGGGCAGGGAGTGTAGTAGGGTGGCCGAAGGCTCGGTTGAAGAGAAGGGTTTTGAGACTCGCCTTGAAGGAGATGGATGGAGTTGCGGGATGGAGTTCCAGAGGGTGGGGGCAGAGTGGCTGAAGGCCTAACTGCCGAAGGTGGTCGGGCTGGGCAGGGGACGTGAAGCAGGCTAGAGTCTGCTGAGCGGAGGGAGCAGACAGATCAGCAGGTCAGCAGGTCACAGAGGTAAGGAGGGGCAAGGCCGAAGATTTTCGAACACTATCCTCTGGGGGATGGGGAACCAGTGGAGCCGGGTGAGGGTGGGGATGATAGGGTCACAGAGCCTGGTGTGGGAAAGGACAAAAGCTACAGAGTTCTGGATGATCTGCAGCTTGTGGAGGGAAGAGTTGGGAGGCCGACAAGCAGGGAGTTGGCATAGTCGAGCTTAGATTCGATGAATGCATAGAAAAGCCGTTTGTGGAGATGAAATGGAGACTGTGTGAGTGGCAGGATCTGACCCACTCAAGGACAGACCCATGAAGGTTGAGGTGAGAGAAGAGGCGGTGGATGAGGATTGAGTGGTCAACGGTATCAAAGGCAGTAGAGAGGTCAGGAGGATGAGAAGGCAGAGGGACACAGATGGACAAAATGTCATTTGCAGCTTTGACCAAAGATGTTTCTGTGGTTTGGGACGGCACAGAAACCCGATTGGAAGGATTTGTGAAGGGAGTGGCAGGAGAGGAAGGATCGTAGCTGGGAAGCAATGACTTTTTCAAGGACCTTCAAAAGAAAAGGGAAATTGGAGATGGGAAGGTAATTTGAGAGCAGGGATGGGTCCGGGAAGGGGTTTTTAAGGATAGGAGTGATGACAGCTGTTTTAACGGGTTGTGACTGGTGACAGTGGATAGGGAGAGATTTATGATGTCTGAGTAGAGGGCAAGAGGGTGGAGCTGGGAGGTAAAGAGGGGGTAGGGATGGGGTCGAGGGAGCAGGTGGTCAGTTTCATGCTGGAGTAGGAGAAAATGAAAAGGCAAGAAGTGGTTAGGTGACACCGAGTTTGAGGCTTAATACTCTATTGATTGGAGGAAGAAAATGGGGAATTCCATACCACAATCTTGAGAACTAACTAATGAGTTTGTTTGGAATGGGTTTTCATGTCTGCAGCCATTACAAATAGTAAGGTTTTATGGTACAACAGTGAGACCATACATGCAGTTTTAGTTCTGATTAGGATACCTAAACTTGCGTTGATGAGTTGGAGAGGGTACAATGAAGAACAACTTGGATATTTTGGAACAATGTGCTTTAGGAATACCATTAAGGAACAGTTTTGATCATGTGGGTCTGGGGAGGGGAATAGAACTCATGTCTGTAATACAGTTATTCATCTGATAAGTTGCCACTCTCAGCCAGGTCCTGTAGAGGGCACGTGTTTACTCACAGACTGAGGCAAATCTGAATGCAAGTGAGTGATTTGCACTTGCTAGATGCACTTCTGGATGTAAGGCAATTCTGGCAGAGTGCTGAGAGCAGTTATTATCTTCCACCTGTAGAAAGGGGAGGAAAAAGACTTTGCGTGCAAGAAAGTGTATTTCCCTGAAAAAATAATACTTGCAAAGTACTATTAGTGCTAGTAGAACTAGAGTAGTACTAGTTCAGATACCAAAATCAGAGTCGCTGCTGGGAAATATTTCACATTGAGGTTGGTAGGATTTTAGGAGTCAATACCTAAACATAAATTAGCGACTATAAAAGTTGAAGTTGCGTAAAAATACTAGGGTTAAAATATAAATGAGCCACATTTATATAAATATACATGATGAATAATAATAATAATCCTTGCATTTGATATAGTGCTTTTCACATCTTCTAGACATCTCAAAGCGCTTCACAGAATAGACTGTAAAGTGAATTGACTGTATATTTGTGGGCGAAACGCAGCAGCCAATTGCGCACAGCAGTGTCCCACAAACAGTCGTGAATTGAAAGTGACCAATTTATTATTGTTCTGTTTGTTGGAGGGATTATTATTAGGCGTGTGGAGTAAGGAAACTTGCCCAAAGTTCGCCCTGTCTGGAACTGAACTCAGATCTCTTGCTTGCAAAGCGAGTGCTCTCACCACTGAGCTACAGGACTCCACATGTCCTATAGATTATCCAATGCCTTGATTGAAGAGTGAAGGTAGTACACTAAATCCTGTACCAGGCTTCAGATAGCTTGGAATCAAACAGTTTGGGTCATGGTGACCTCATAATAATACAATGTCTTTGATCTCGTAGTGTGTCTTTATTCATCCCTAGGACAGGAGCTATTAAATTAGCGGGTTGACATGCAGTTTTCAGTTTAAATCTGGAACAAAACTTGTGTTTATACTTATTACTTGGGCCAATCGAAAAGTGTGGCCGCACTTTTTCCGCAGAATCCACTACAAACAACAACAAAATTACATTTGTGTAGCGCTTTTCACGTCAGGAGGAGGTCCCAAGGCGCTGGACAATCGGTGTTTTGGATCCGAGCTGGGGGTTAGGATCAGGGAAGATGGAGGGCAGGTGGGGAAGGAGGGTGACCAAAGGCATGGTCGAAGAGGAGGGTCTTGAGATGGGTCTTGAGAGAGGCAAGGGAGGGGGCAAGGCAGAGGGACTGTGGGATGGAGTTCCAGAGAGTGGGGGCAGAGTGGCGGAAGGCCCGCCCGCCAATGGTGGGGTGGGCGAGGCGGGGGACATGAAGCAGGCTGGAGCCCACAGAGCAGAGGGAGCGGGCAGGTTGGTAGAGGGTTGCGAGGTCGCAGAGGTAGGGGGGAGCAAGGCCATGGAGGGCTTTGGAAGTGAGGACCAGGATCTTCAACTGTATCATCTGTGTGATGGAAAGCCAATAGAGTCAGGTGAGGATGGGGGTGATGGGGTCGCGGAGCCTGGTGCGGGAGAGGACTTGTGTTGCAGAGTTCTGGATGATCTGCAGCCTATGGAGGGAGGAGTTGTGGAGGCCAACAAGCAGGAGTTTGCATAATCGAGTCTGGATGTTATGGATGCATGTATGAGGGTTTTAGCAGCCTGCGGTGTGAGACTGGCGGAGCCGGACGATGTTGCAGAGGTGGGGGAAAGCAGAGCGGGTCATGGTATGGATGTGGAGTAGAAAGGACAGTTAAGAGTCAAACAAGACACCAAGGTTCTGGACTAGCTCAGCACCCCCTCCACTACAAACACCCCCCTCCACTACAAATACTCCCCTCCCCTCCAACAAGTCATTGTAGTCAGGAGCTGTCCCTCCCTTTCTTTTTTTTATCATGAATCTATCGCACAGCTTAGTTTTCCACTTCATAATTGGGCTCTTCTTTTCCATGCCTTCGAACTCCAAACCTTTAAGGAGAACTGTTTGTTCATAAATCCTGTCTGCCATGAGGTTAACTTGCATTCACAGTTACCTATTACAGGAGAGCGATGAGCATGATCAGAGTGCCCTTCACCCCATTTCCTGCAAAGCGCAGGGTGCAAGCAAAAGTTAGTTAATTATACATATTGTTTTCTGGTGGCTGTGATGGATTTGTTGATTCAAGATTATACTGTTTGTAATTGGGGTTGAACTTTTTAACTAAGGAAGGCAATCAGTAGTAGATAATATATAAAGTTAAAGTCGTTATTATACACAAAATAAAAACCTGGTTTGATTTGTCTTTTAGTGTTAATTTTTTTGTCAATAAGCCAAAGGAAATTGGGGAATGGGGGACATTTGGCACAACAAACCTGGCTAAATCTGGGACAAATTCGGCTTTAAGCATGTATGCCCAGAGCTCACAGTGCAGTGAAGCACGTTTTGGAATGTGCCGCACCATCATGGATGGTGAATAAAATTGGAAATTTAAAACAAATGGGTGAAAATAGTTCTTTACTGATTGAATCTCACATACCGAAAAGTTATTTAATGATAAAAATAGGTTGAAAAAAAATATTAATGGCCTTCGATACTATGACATTAAACTTATTATTGTTAAAATTAAGCGAGTGAGGGAAAAGAACTTGATGTTAAAAATTATACTAAAAACAGTAGTGTGATGAATTTCCCAGGTGAAGGGGGTAGGAGAGGAAGGACAGAAGAATGGAAAGAATACCCCCTGGGAGAAATAATAATAATAATCCTTGCATTTGACATAACACTTTTCACGTCTTCAAAGCACTTCACAGAATATACTGTAAGTGAGTTGACTGTATATTTGTGGGCGAAACGTGGCAGCCAATTGCGTACAGCAATGTCCCACAAACAGTTGTGGATTGAGTGACCAAATTATTTTTTAAGGATTATTATCCCCGGAAAAGCGATCTGCCAATTGACTAACAACCGGAATCCTACTTACTGCTAGGTCAACATAGGCATGTAGAGTAAGGAAACTTGTCCAACATTTCACCCTGCCGGGCATCCAACCCAGGTCTCTCGTTTGCAAGGCGAGTGCTCTAACCACTGCAGCTGCAGTGCTACAGGAAAGGGACATTTCTAAGATTCTCTGTCTTCTGAAACATCATAGAAATTCCTAGCAAATGTTGAGATATCATGCCTGCCAAGTGATCATTAATGTTGTGAAATTATTATGTAATGGCTTTTGGAGAAAAGTTTCTTTCAGATGGCCAAAACCGATACAAATAATTAATAACAAAAAGTATTCATATGACAGCTAGTTTTTTAAAGTACTGTTTATTTCAGACAGAGACGAATGAGTAACTTGTGGTTTTGTTTAACTTCATTTCTTTTCTCTTGTGAATTACAAATTTCTTGATAGACTGGACAGCACATTCATGTGCATTCTATGCACCCTTCGTTCTGGGTTTGAATCACAGGCTTCTCTCATATTCGTACTTCTGCATGTATCAGACAATCTTGATTTCCGCCTAGAACCAAGGGAATTTATGGCACAGAAGAAAGCCATTTCATCTATCATCTCTGTCCAGGCTCTTTTAAAGAGCATTCTTTTTAGTCCCATTTACCTGTAGTTTGCTTCTCTTTAGAAATCTATTTTGTTCCCTTTGGAAAGCCAATATGGTTTCTACCTCCACCATTGCTTCCGGCAGGGCATGCCATATCCTAACCAGTCTGTGCATGAAAAAATTCTCCTGATCTCCACATTCTCTAGCTATTGTAAATTGATGGCCTGTAGTCCCTGACTCACTGAACAGAAGAAATAATATCTCTTTATTGACTCCATCAAAACCCTTCATTTTAAAGATCTCTACACCCATCAACCTTTTGTTCCAGTGGAAAAAGTCTCAGTTCCTCCAGTCTCTGCTCATAGGCCAATCCACTCATCCCTGGTAACAGCATAATAAATCTCCTCTACACCTCCTCTATTGCCTTGACATCCTTCCTAAAGTGGGATGATCAAAACTTACTGAAGTTGAACTAATAATCTATATAAGTTTAGCATTATCTCTTTGTATTTAGATTCTATACCCCTATATATAAAACCTAAGTTTCCATTTGCTTTCATGACAGCTTTGTTTTTGATTTATGTATGTTAACCCCTCGATCCCTCTGCTCTTTCAATCCTTAATTATTGCTGTAAATAATAAGTGTGTTGAATCCTCACTGCTGCAGAAGCTCATGTTCTGGAGAATGTTCATTACAGTGTTCAAATGGAATGTTGTCAAACTTTGTGTTAATGTTGAAATTTTCAGATCGTCAATGAAGCTGCTAAGTATCGCTTTCGCTCCGGAAACCTGTTTGAATGTGGAGGTTTAACAATTCGAGCACCGTGGGGTTGTGTGGGTCATGGATCGCTCTATCATTCCCAGAGTCCTGAAGCTTTCTTTTCTCATATACCGGGAATTAAGGTAGGTATTAATTTTTAATTTTTGTTCTAAATTAAGCAGATTTTTAAAAAAGTGTATTCTGGAGGTCAAGATCATAATTTTCTCTTTTCATACACGTGATTGCTTTTCAAAAAGACCTAATCAAGAAAATACATTTTAAACAAAGTGTTGTACAGGAGGTCCAATTTACTTGATTTTTGCTTTTCTTTTTGTCATTTTTATATGTACCAGAGACCACTTATTTGATGCCTGGCTACATTATATATGATCAAAGGAATCTGCAGAAGCAGAATAAACAACTGTGGCCCTCTGGCTGGCCCCAAAGGAACAAAACAAATCATAACTATATATGTCCTATCTGTCAATCAATTTATTTTCCAAGTAGCTACCTAATTCCATCTTGGGGTTTCCTGATAATATCTGCCTCCACCGCCTCACTGTATAGTTCCTACCACATATTCACTCACTCTTTGCATACTTAAAGCTAAATTGTTCATTTGCCTTCTTCTGAGCTTGAATCTGTGACACCTGGTTTGTATTTAATTGCTGTACACTTTTAAGTGGTCTAAAGGATAAGTCAAATATCCAATGTAATTTGATGGTATCTTTATAAAAATTCACAAAAAGAATTTTATCTTTTTGAAAATAAAAGCAGTACAAGGTTTGGACTTGAGGACTGCAGCATTTAGAAAGCAATCTTTTGACTCTGATGTCTGATTTGATTCCGGTTCAAAATTATGGTGTTTTCTTTCCTTTGTTTGAAGAATTTGTAATGAAGTGAATCAGACAGTCTCAACTTCAAAAGGACACAGTTTTACTGCATGACAATTATTCACATATTTCCTTACATGCATTTTTGTTTATGTTTGCTTAAGTAGAATTGGGATGTAGTGTCAGCAAACATGTTTAATTGTGAATAGAATTGTTACTTTCAGACCTTAGTTTATTTTTTGAAGGTGCTGGAGTGTAATCCATTAAGTGCTGCTACCACAAAATATGGTCTCCTAATTATGCACGTAGAAGGTTCCTCTATTTTTCTAATTTCAACCAAAATCTGGGAGAATATCACTCCAGGGTGAGAATCCTGTTCATTCTCCAGAGAAAGAATTTGTGCTTGATTCTTATGGCTGGAAAATGGATTTCCAGAGTACATTTCAGATAAGAATAGCCACACATCCCACCTGCTCAGCCAAAGTTACTCATCATTGAATTGTCAACTTCTTTTAATGGGCAAACTGATACAGACCACAAAGTGACCAATAAGTCTCTTCAACCCAAATGGATAGGTCTATAGTTTGGGGTCACAAAGACTTCTGCACACAGAGTAAAGTGTTAAGTTGGAAGGTTAAGTTAAGATTATATTTTGTGCCCCTGTGATAACACAACTCTGTCCTATGGAGCAGTGGAGACCAAAGGAAAATGTAATAAAGATTTTTAGAATTAATAAATGGTTTGAATAGATAAATAGTAAATACTATACCTATTCCTCTGACTAGCGAATCAGTAACAAGAGGATTATTACTGGATGAAAAATTAAGCTAAAATGATCTTTTTACGCAGAGTTTTAGCATGTGTGATTTCTTACCACAAATGACTGTATTGGGTCAATAATTAAATACTCATAAAGGGTATTCAAAAAGAGCACAGGGGACTAGGGTTAGATCAAATAGCTCTAGTAGGAGAGCCAGCATCACCAACAAAGACACAATGTGCTGAATGACTTCCTTCTGTGTGCTAAACTTCATCTGATTCTTTGAATCCAATGTTTGTAGAAGCAAACGTTTTTGTGACCACACAATTATGGCAATAGTTAGTATTTTTGATCATTCTGAAATGAGGATGATGTGTTTTTAGTAAATTTGCTGGAAAGCTCTAGAATTTTGTTCACAGATGTGTCGAGTGTTTTGTAATACATTTTAACCTTGAACACTTAAAATCTTGAGCTTATTAAGTACATTAATTTGACATGCTTTTGAAATGCAGAGTAGTTATAAATCAGTATTAACAACCTATAGTTCGGGCTTGACTGTGGGTAGGATTGTTGCCAACAACATCTGGGTGTTCGAAAAAGAAAATGCTGCAACCTCAAGCTTGGAAAAAGAATTACCATCTAACCCTGTTCATCCCATACTTACGCAGAAGAGGGAATTAAATGTAATGTTTTTTGATATCATTTTATAGAAGCTGGATCTAACTTTAAAAAAAATTCCTGGGATAAAGTTGTACTTTATTTGAGCAGATAGTACCACAGATTATTTGTTTACGTGTGATTGAATGTATCCATACTTAATACATCTTTATATAGTTTATATGTTTATAACGCAAGTTATAATCCGTTTTGTTTCTATATAAAGTTCTAAATTATTTAATATTGATCTAATTTAAAGTCTTGCATAAGGGTAATATGAAATTGTTTGCATTTTGGTAAAGTTTCCTTTTCATTTTAAATGTTTGCATTTTTTGTTGGTAGTAAACAGCAGATATGAATAGATAGGTGTCAGTTGTATTTTGTGTTTGGTGTTGATTCCTGTAGTTTTAAAAGTTTGCATTGGTGGAAATAGAGTATTCCTAAATGTATCTAGTGAAAACTAAGGAAACAATTACAAAGCATTGGAAACAGAGTGAAGAAAGTGGCACAAATTGGATGCCTTTCATTGCATTTTTAGGTTTTAAAGGATACTGTATTGAAAGGTATTTCTCAAGCAGGATTCTGAGAATCAGGGTTTGAGATCCTTGACCCATTTTTAAAATTATTATCTAAATCCCAATTGACAAGAACTATGGATGAAACTCACTTCACCAAGTGCTCTGATAGCTTATTCAGACTCATTCAGCAGAGCTTCTGTTTCAATCCTCATCTTTGATTGATATTCAGATCCAGCTGCCATCTGTTAATACGACACTGGTTCTCAGGGAGCTGTATGTTGGACTGCCTCACAGTGAAAAGGAGGAAAATCTTTGATTTTTCTTTATAAGGTGCACCTCCTGTCAGTTGATAGAAGCACACTCTTTATAGTACGTAAAGAGGATACCATTCAGTCATGCATTTCTGACTTTTGATGAAAGTTTAAATAAGGTGAAAATAAAAGGAAAATTCTTTCTCTGGACGAGTGAGCAAAATCAAATGGAGTGTTTATAACTTGTAAAAGGAATTGGATAAATATTTGAAAAAGAAAAACCTAAAAGTTCTGTGGGGAAAGCACAGGTCCCGCTGGGGCTAAATGAATAGTTCTTTCAGAGAGTCAGCACAGGAATGATATGGCCTTGTCTGTGCAGTAAGATTTAGTGATTCTATATATTTTACTTATTTAGAATATGTACATTGACAATCCGTGTGTATGGGAACATAGGAATATTTCCATACACTGTATCCCTTCATATACTGTATGCCTTCCCAAAAAATGTATTCCCTCAATCCATGACTGTTTGTGGGACACTGCTGTGCGCAATTGGCTGCTGTGTTTCGCCCACAAAATATACAGTCAATTCACTTTACAGTATGTTCTATGAAACGCTTTGAGACGTCTTAAAGACATGGTAAGGCGCTATATCAAATGCAAGGATTATTGCTATATAATCAGCACCTGAACACTATTACAATCTGTTTAGCCAGTCCCATTTTCAAAATGCCATTTCTTCCTCTCTCACGTGCTAATCTAATCTCATTTCCTTTCAAAGCTGCCCACACTTTCCGCTGGAATATGGTTTTCATACATGTGGTTTGATCTCAGTTTATATACAGTCTTTTTGGTGCCAGTAGTTCCAGCCTATAGAGTGTCTTGAATCTATTTGGTGTGTACATTCCATTGAATGGTTGTTGAAGATGAAATATAAATGCAGTTTGTGACTTACAATTCTCTATTTGTTTCATCTAGTAAAACCACTTCCAGAAAAAAAGTGATTTGCAGTATAAATGCAAATGACAAGATAAGGCAAACTGGATGCTGGGCTATATTTTCGAAATCATTGGGGTTAAGATCCCCAGACATCATACTCAAGTTATATAGTACTCTGGTCAGGTCAAACCTTGAGTTCTACATACAGGTCTAGTTGCAGCAGCGAAAGAGAGAATGTCCAGATCTTACAGGCAGTGCAGAGAGTATCAAGGATGATCTCCAGTGTTTATTTTCAATGTTTATTTTGTTTCAAATATGCCTCTGGAAAAGCCATACTCAATGATGATGGTGGTGGGGGTGTAATCTAATTATTGATGCTACAAAGTCTGCCACTGACTACTCCTTCATAGCTGATTTGGCTGGTTTGTCATTCTGTACTTTTTGAAGACAATCTGGCACTTCTGCTCCTTTACTGGTTGCTAAATATCTGGAAGAAATTTTAATTGATTCTAGTTACATATATGCGCAATGAAAAGTGCCAAAATACACCCTGATGGCAGGAAGCAGAACAAAATCATGCTTATTTTTCAGATGAGAGCTGTTTCACAATTGTAGAACTTGAATATCTTCAGTATTTTAGCAATGGTAACTCAAGTTGGTTAAAATATCTACATATTTTCAGAGGTGATGAGAAATGTTAAACGTTCTGAATGATTTACACCCCATGAGCTGTGCATTAGTTTTTTTTGTTTCTCCCTCACTGAAATTGGAATTAAAATGGCTGGTACATATTCTTTATTTGAAAAAACCACACAGTGCTGTTGATATTAATAAAAATATTGACCAACGTCTGTTGATTAATGTCTCCAATAAAGCATTCCTTCAGTGTCAAAATGTGAACACATCTATAACAAGTTATACAAAACTCATATTTTCTCCCACACTCAGCTCCACCTGTTCATTGTCCTCCTCCTCGCCAGGCTGCACTCTTCCAGCAGATTGACTGCTTCTGATTATGGTGCTTGTTTTTCATTCCCTCTGTGTGTGTGTGTCTCTCTCTCTCTCTCTCTCTATATATATATATAAATGTATAGTACATAAAGACTTGGTGACCCAACTTTCATCCACTTTGATGTTGTCTCTGGAACTCCCTTCTAAAATCTTTTTGCCTTATGCTTTTTTTTG